TTTCCAAAATTCTATTCTTGGGCTGAAATTATGTACTTCTCGCTTTAAGAATTTGAATAGTTTAATCTACAGATTGCTAACTCTAAAAACAAGTAAATGTTGGAAACTAAAAATTATATTCTTTAGGGGACCCAATTTCTGGTAATAAATCCTCGAGGTTTCACCAGTTAAATGCCCCAAATTGCTTGAGACTTAGGGTAATTGCTGTTTAGACGTAAGTGTAGGATAGAACTATACGTCCGTGGCAACCATTCAGAAAAAGAGGGGAAAAAGAGTGATATACAGAAATGAATCAATTTGAATTTTAGTGGGATCAGGATCAAGTAATACTGTAATGCTTCTTGTTTTAAGGCTTCAGTGCTAGGCCCATCTTTAGGGAGTTGGATGCGGGGTTTAGAGTTATGAAGATATTGAACCACTACGATTTGCTCAAAAGTCAACGCTAAAGACTTTGTCAAAACATTGAACCACTATGATTTGTCATATCTGACAAGACATGCACATATTTATATTTATAGGTGTACAACGATTCATTTGGATGAAAGATATATTAGAATTTATCTTTATTTGTATTAATTTTTAAATATGTTATATCTATTAATTTCAAATTTATATATATTTTGTCATGTTTGATTTGTATGTATTTCTGTCATTAATGTAAATTCAAAGAAAAGTTAATAGAGATGGGTTCAAATCATAGTTATTAAACCCGATCGGTCCGGCGGTTCAACCGGTCAACCCGATGAACCAAACGTCGGGCATGTTGATAGAATACAATCACCACTGGACCAACTACCCATATGTTGTTATCTTGTCCTTCTTATACTATATGCTAGACTTTTATTCTTATTTTATTTCTTCAAAACAAAATTTATTTAAAATCTTTTAATAACATTTTATTATTCCCCAAACTCTATAAATTATGAAATTGACTTAAAAAATAACATATTACACAATTCCTTTTAAAGGCAAATAATTATTCTTAATAAACTTTTGCACTTAAAATTCATAAATAAACTAGATAATTACACTTAGATAAAATTTTATACTTGAATTTGGTAGATTACTAATTAAATTTAGGTTGTTAATTCTTATAAGAATTAATGATTCTATAATAAATTAGACTAACTGAATATTTATCATGGCATAAAATTATGAGACATAATATTTAAATATATTTAGTGACCCACCGGTTGGACCACTTACTCACTAGTTGAACCAATAACCCATTGACCCACCTCTTTCACCGGGTTCCTTCCCGGGCCGAGTTTAATAACTATGGTTCAAATCCTATCCTCGCCCTCTAGTTCTCCCCTTGAAGCCTAAAAATATAAAAGGCTGTTTGGGTACAATTAGAGGTGGCGATTTGTCCCAAGTCCCAATGGGTTACCCATGCTCATGGGGATTTTGGGCGGGATGAGTACTGGAATTTGATATTGGGTTTAAAATGGGACAAATCCCAATTGTACCCATTAATTGATGGGAAATTTTGGGAAATACTTGGGTACCCATTGGACAATGATTAAAAAATATGGGAAATACTTGGGTACCCATTTGAATCTAGTATTTTGGGAAATACTAGATTCAAAAATTATCTTTAACAATTTTTATAGTCATACCAGCGAATATAATCTAGTAATCTTCCTAGTCATTATTCACAAGAATTTCTAGTATTTCAGTCAGTTTAGACCTGTCATCCTTAAACAATGATGAGGATAAATATTCAACACCCTAAGTACCTTAGCCATCTTGATATATGTTGGAATATGGCTGTATATCTATCTTTTCCTTTATTTGTTAATCTAATTTTTGGTGGGAATCCTGAGTATAAAGCACTTGCATGTTTATTTAATAAAACTAAAAGAAATTTAATAAATCAAAAATATTAAAATTATATAAAAAATAAAAATGAATTAAAGGAAAAAAAATATGTAGAAAATAGATTTAGGTATTGGGCGGGATCAATCTAAACTCATCCCAAAGTGATCCCGCCCAAGTTAGTCTCAAAATACATATGGGTAAGGTTGGGTCCAAACCCATATGATTCGGTTCCATCTCAAACCCAAGCAAATCCCGCCCATCCGCCCATTTTGCCATCTCTAGGTACAATTTGGCTAGGTAATTGTCAAAATTGTAGTATTTGACACGCAGCAGAGTATTTTAAATCATGATTATTGTAATCAAACTATGGAAGCCAACTATGGTTATTGGTTTTTAGATTTTTTCCCTTCCGTAGAGAATGCTGGATAAGGTAAAATTTTAATAGAACCAAAACTTTGTAAAATCTGTTGCATGTTATATGAATAAGTTGCATGGGTTTGACCCAAAAGTGCTTTTTTTTTTCTCAAAAGTTGATTGTGAAGATATTACTGGTCCAGAATGACTGTCTAGTGGAGCCTTATAAGCGAATCGTTCTTGGAGCTGGAGGATACCAATTGCACTTAGCGTACAAAATTGATGATATGACTTGAGAAATGAATAGGTCAAAAGCTATATTTTAAAACTCGGATCGAACAGTGGCTGAGTTAAATTCAGGGTTAAAAATCAATGGATTGGATCAAAATTGGACAAATTTAAGAGCCGGGTATTATCATTATTATATCATAAATATGTATTATATAAATAAAATTGTATGAAGAAATAACTTATAGATTTATTAGTGACATAAGGAAATAAATATCCTTTATTCTTCATGTTTGTTTCACACAGCTTAGTAAAATTCAAAAGTATTAAAGTCTAACTCTAATTTGATATTTGTGAATTTTAGATGCAAATTAATGAGTCTATAACTAAATGTACAAGACTTATTTGAAAAGATACATCAAAATCGATCCTGCAAATGACATTAGAAAATGTTTTGAGAACTTTGACATTAGAAAATGTTTTGAGAACTTTGATAGCAATCCAAAACATCAAAGGGGAAAATGAAATATTAAAAAACTTAAGGTAACTATCTCTAATTTCTCGGCCTTGTTTGGCAATTAGGTTTTTTGTCTAGTTTTACTCCCACAAGTTTTTTAACAACTTTAGTTACACTAATTCTAAAAAACTCTTTAAAGTTTTTAAAATAGATACTTCAAAATACCCAAAAACACAAAAAATTTTCTTTCTTCCTTTCTTCTTCTCTCTCCCCCACTTCAACCCACCACCACTTCCGTTGCCAGCCACGTTTCAAAGGGCACCTCTTTCGACGCCGGCCACGTTTTCTAGCATTGATAGAAGTTTTTTTTCCTCTTTCTCCTCCCTCTTTCTTTCTCTCTCTTTCTTTCTCCTCCCTCCCTCTCCTCCTCCTTTCCTTTCTTCCCCTGCGCGACCAGATCACGTGATAGAGGGAAAGGGAGTGGGGGAGGGTGGCAGGGGAGGGATGGGGGAGGGAGAGAGGCGGCGGGTGAGAGGGGAGGGCAGGGGAGGAGGAAGGGAGGGAGGAGAAAGGAGAAGAGGGAGAAGAGAAAGAAAGAGAGAAAAAAACAAAAAAAAAAAAAGAAAGCCTGTTACTGCTGGCGCTAGTCGCAGGCGGAGGTGTCAGTGCCAGCACTAGAGTGGTAAGGTGAGAGAGAAGGAGAGGAGAGGAAAGAAAAAAAAATGAAAAAGAAAGAAAAAAGTTTTTTATTTTAAAAATTTTTTCTACAAATTCTATAATAAGTTATAGTAAAATTTTAGACAAACGTCCCAAAAACCTATTTGCCAAACGGAGACCTCATTCTGTTGCCTACATCTTCTAACTGTCATGTGCTCATGTTCACCATTCTGTCGACTTCCGTCCACTAATTTTCCTTTTGTCTTCCAATCTTTTCTTTTTTCTCTTTGTTTCCTGTCAAAATTGTCTTTTAATCCTGTTTTTTCATGTTTGGTATTCTTTTTTTTATTTAATCAAACTAAAACATGAAAACTTATTATTCTTTTTCTTTCTCTTCTATCCATTTGCTGCTGGCTCCTTTTTTTCTTCTCTTATTTTGCCTTAGACCTTAGATTTGCAAGTTTCCTTCTTGCTCTTAGTTTTATACTAGGTTTTTAGATCTATAAATTGCAGCAACTTTACCATTACAGATTTGCTTGAAAACGAGGAAAGCCTAATTCTTCATCTTTTCTTTTCTTCGTTTTTCTTTTTTGGCGGATACAAGTTGCAGATTAAAAAGACACATGAGATTAAAGGTAGAATGCACTGTTATAGAAATGGATAGAAGTCCTCCAGCACTTGTTTTGCACACATTTAGAACAAACCCCAAAAACAAGCTAACTAAATTATTATAAATCTATTAGGGTTAATTCCACTTTGTCCCCCCAAACTTTGGACGATTACCCACTTCAGTCCCTAAACTTTAAAATGGAACACTTAAGTCCCTAAAACTTATAAATTGGGACACTTAAGTCCCTAAACTTATAAAATGGAATACTTAAATCCTTAAACTTATAAAATGGGACACTTCGACCACTAATGACATTCAGGATTCTGTCAACAAATTTCCTTAATTGGGAGGTATTTATAAGTTTAGGGATTTAAGTGTCCCATTTTGAAGTTTAGGGACTGAAGTGGGTAATCGTCCAAAGTTTGGGGGGACAAAGTGGAATTAACCCTATTATAAAAGAAGAAGAAGAAGAAGAAGCCTTAATAGGCCTGTCAACGGGTCGGGTCTAGACCCAGATCCGGACCGGATTCGTGAAATTATTGCGGGTATGGGTAGGGATTTAATTCTGTTTTCCGGATCCGGATCCGTTTTGTCAAACAAAAAAACGGGTCGGATACGGAATATAGTATTCCGGCCCGTATTAGACCCGGATCCGGATATAAATGAATTAATAATTTAAAAAATATATATTTATCAATATAATTTGATTAGGGTGATGTATTTGAATAAAGTCAATTTGATTTCTTTTCTTATTTGGTTTTTTCTTTGCATTAGTTAGAAATTAGTTTACAAATATATTTTTTTCTCATTTTTATTAGAAATTATAAATTTTGCTAAATTTGTTCGGGTAGACCCGACCCGGATCCGGATCCGGAACATAGAATAAAAGACCCGTCGGGTAAACGGGTCGGATCCGGGTCCGGTATAGTGATTCGGGTCCGGGTCCAGAATAATGAATTCTGGCCCGGTCCCGGCCCGTTGACAGCCCTAAGCCCTAAACACCACGTATTTGTATCACATTAAGTCAAATTACATGGAACGTCTATCCCAGCATCCACCACTAACAATCGCACGACCCTTATTTGCTTAAAGCTTTGTCAATCCATCCCCAACTTATCCTTCACCACTTGAGTTTAGCTGGAAAGTACTGCAAATCAGGAAGCCCAAAAATATAAGAACATATGTACGTAGTAGAATTGTGAGTGAATATTTGATTACAGAATTGTAGAAAGTCAACAAACCTTTTCAATGAGGGAGAGATAATACGGCTTGACCTCTTCCAGGTTGATCTTCGCTTTGCTCATTGCTGTAAAGGTCGTACTGGTTGAACACATGAAGCCATTTCAGCGTCTCTTTCTCCTCTTCATTCATCAACTATCCGTAGTCTTCACCGTTATGCAGAGCATAGAACTAATGGAATCGGATAATGAAGAAGAGGGCAGCAGGAGGCAGAGTACAGTTATTCCCTTTCACATCCTGTGCATTTATCCAACAAAATTTAAAGGGAATACTTACAAAAAGCATACTATTAACTCTAATGTAAAGGATCACATGACCAAGATTTATAAGCCGACACATGGTTTTATGATGTCCTGGATTACCAACTACATGTACTCATCATGACCCTAGGACATGGTGACATTGTCCAGTCCACAATTCTCAGTGTAGATTCCCAAGTTAGTGTTGAAGTTGGGATTCTTGTAGTCCGGATTTTCCTTGAAAAACTCAGCAAAATTTGCGATAGAAGAGTGGTTGGTTATTCAGAAAATTGTACAGTATTAGATAAGACAAGGAAGCTTGAATTGAATTATGAGAATTATCGCCTGGCCATGAACAATGACCTCGCTAAAAAGTGCATCCCAGCGGAAATGTGTCACCTGAGAAGTAATAAATCGATATGGGGTCCAGAAATCAATGTCCAAAGTCCAAACTAAAATCAAATGAATAGGCATCAGACATTAGGCGTCAGACTTACCTACAACACGCCATTGAGGCTCACCATTGAACCATGTCCCCATACAGTATCAGATTTCCAGCACTTAGCATGCTATACACCTTTAAGTGCATTGAATCACAACAAATGTAGCGCATTACGTGAGAACTCATTGTTTGGATTCAACCAAGAAAATCCTGTCAAAGTCCTTATCACCTAGCTTGCCAACTTGTGCTTTTACGCATCCACCTGGTTATGTAACCATCTTATTTTAATTCTTTTTAATGGACATACTCTGGATTTAGTCATTTTAGAAATTGATGGGAGTGGTGTAATAAATATTTGGCTATCAACCTTTTGGATCTGTTCGATGGTAGAAAATGATTGTGGCAGGTCTAATTATATGACATGGCAGTTGAGATTGTGTGTAATTACACATAGTCGGCCATGTCATAGAGTAACACATGTACACACAATCTCAACTACCACGTCATAGAGCAACACATGTAACTAAAAGTGTGACGTTGATTTCCTACCATAAGATTGACAGCTAAATATTTATTACTACATCACTTCCATCAATTTCTAAAATAGCTAAAATCCAAAGCCTGATCATTAATATTTTCTTTGTAACGTACGTCCGTAACTCTTCAGACAAGCAAGAAATCTTGGCACCAAAACAAGAAAGGTCAGTGGAAGGTGGAGTAGCTCAAGTCTGAACACATCCTCCACCCTCTGTCTATCTAACCATGCATCCATTAAAAGCCTCTTTTGCTGATCTAAATTCTAAGCAAAGCAGACCAAACGACTCACCAAGGGCTTGGCATCTTGTATGGCATCTTCCCATAAAACCCGGAAAAAAGAATCAAAGATAAGATGTCTGATTATATATACAAATTTGTAACAAGCTAAAGTATCCAACCTGTTCACACACACAGAAGAGATAGTGAACCGTTCTTTAAAGCTTGGCAAATTCAACTGCACCACGAAACTCCTATTATCCATGTTAGAGAGATGACGAAAACAAAGTGCATGGCATAACAACTCACACCGAAATGGGAAAAAAAGAAAAAAAATAATAAAACAAAAGATTGAAAACAATGCTAATTGATGTGATGCACCGTGCAGTGTCAAGATTGAGATCCTCTACTGTTGCAGAGGAAACCGCAAAGAGTAGGGGTGGCTGGAGATCGGACCGGAGTAGCTGGGCTCGACTTGAAAATCACTCCGGCCGACTCGATCTCAACTGTACATCGAGTTGGGCAGTTCTGATCTGATCTCCAGTCATTCACTACGTGGTGAAGTTTCTCTATAACTAGAGAGAAACTTGATCTGTAGTATCATTAGTATGGTAATTACGAGAAAAATCAGAGAAATAAAATACTTAAGTATGAAAATTATATTAATACGACGTTTATACATGTATTTTAATCTTGATAATAATTAAAAGCTTCGTAGATCATTTAATATTCGCTTTTCTGATGCGAATTTTAAGATTTATTTGTTTTATTAATAAAGTTAGTTTAAACTGGCTACAGTAAAAGATGTAGAAAAATGAATTTCACTCATAAATTTAGTTTACTTAAGTTAATTGATTAACTTATATTGTAATGCATGATAAGCCTTTTATGTCTTACAAAGAAATACTATTTGTGACATTTCCTAACCTATACTTTATGCGAAATTGGATATAATTGAAAAAGTAAAAGCAGTGTTTTGTTAAAAAAAATGTAGAGTTTTTCACATAATAAAAGTCTAGCAAAAGGAGACCAAGCATTCAAAACTTCTCTTTCAAGTGAATTCGGTAGAACTTTTTTAATAGTTTGCTAAAAATATTGTGAACATATATTTAGTTATTTACCTTGCCTATTTGGAAGCTCAGTTTTTTCACAAGTTTGTATGCTATTAGTTTTTTAACAACTTTTGCTATAGAAACTCCAAAAACTTATCAAAATTTTTAACCTACACACTTCAAAATATCTAAAACTTACAAAAAAAAAAAAAATCACAACTGTTTTCTTTTTCTTCTTCTTCCTCCCCCATCCCAACCCACCACCACTTCCATCGCCGACCACCACTTCCAGCGCTGGGGTCTTTTTTTTTTTGCCTTTCTCCCTCTCCCCCGCCATCCTTCCCCTTTACCCAGTTTGTATGACCCCTTTTTTTTCCTCCCTCTTCCTTTCCCCCACTCCTCCCCCACCACCCACAAATGAAACTCTTAAGTGTTATTCTGTGAAAACCCACAAATGAAACTCTGGCATCTGTGAAAACCCACAGATGAAACTCTTAAGTGTTATTTTGGCCCAAGGCATTTGTGGAACGCCTTGTTGCGATAACCATGGAATATGCAGAACGCCTTTCCCCCACTCCTCCCCCACCACCCATTTGCACCAGATTGCGGGGAGGGGAAGGAGAGGGGAAGGCTGAAAATTGCAAAAAAAAAAAAACTTTCTGCTGGGCATTGACTGCGCCTTGACTGTGGAGCATTGACTGCCGGGCGAGGGAAGGGGGAGGGGGAAGGGCAGAGGGGAGGAGAGGGGTGGCGGGTAGGAGATGGGGAGAGAAAATGCGAAAAAAAAAATTTCTGTTGGGCATTGACTGCCAAGCGAGGGAAGAGGGAGGGGGAAAGGGAGGAGGGGTGGCGGGTAGGAGATGGGGAGAGAAAATGCAAAAAAAAAAAAAAAAAAAAAAAAAAAAAAATCTGCTGCAGACTGCTTGATGCAGTTTAGGGAGAGGAACAGGGGAGGGAAGGGGAAAGGAGGAAAGAAAAGAAAAAAAAAATGAAAGAAAGAAAATGAAAGGAAAAAAGTCTTTCGTCTTACAAAAGTTTTTCTACAATTTCTATAGTGATTTACAGTAAAATTTTAGACAAACTTTCAAAAAACTTTAGATTCCAAACGGGCGTCTCAACCATTGTATATTGCACGAAGGCAATATTTTTTTCCGTCAAAATTCTATTCTTGTTGATATTTATAAGGGATTGGACTTGATCAATGACAAATGCAACATTTCTTGACTTATATTCGCTAAATAAACACCAAAAAAAGAAGAAGACATGGCTATATGTTCACTAGATGAGTTTGGAAGACTGATTTTTGTCCCTCCAATGAGTGGGAAAAAAAGGAAAAGAAACAAACTACGAAAAGTTGGTTTACTTCCTAATTAACATTAGAGAACCAAGGTTTAATAACTTCACCCAAAAAAAAAACAAAAAATTAGAGATATCAAGCATAAACAGCATACAAATAGAGACCTCATTTGAAAAATATATAAAAGTCTGCTAAAACATTTTCGTAACTGAAAGATGAGTTGAAAGACCAAAAGAAAGTAATCAATTGATTCTAGATTATTTTCTCAAAAAGAGAAAAAGAACTATAAATCAAAATAAACAGATAATCAATATTACACCTTAAAAGTAAATTGCTAAATAAGAATATACCTAACTTTATCGGAGAAGAATGAAGCCATTATCCCCCTTCTTCCTGCTTCCTAAATTGTGCCTTACCTTCTGATAATGTCATAATGATATATTTGGAAAGATGAATTCATCTCCCTTGTGCAACTTTTCTTCCTCAACTTCCTCACAACTTCACGAAAGTCCTTTTCTGCTTATACCTCCTCCACTTTCCTCCACCTCCTTATTTCCCTTCTCAATCTGCATTATGAACAGCAAACTTACCCCCTTCATCACCCATCCTGACAGCTTCAGCTCCGCAACATCCCACATCTTTGTCCTGAAATTAAACAGGCATTGATTATTTGTTCTGCACTAAAGTCTTCTTATTCCCATCCCCTGAATCCATACTTTTATTCTGCACTGGATCATTTTGTTCAGATCTTATCTGTAATCATCACATTTAGTACAAGGTCTCTTGAAACAACTAATTCTGATTATACGGTACAAGCAATAAAGCAAAGCTCCAAAATAACAACCTTCTCTGAAACACCTGATCACTCATAAGCGTTGATGATTCTACTGAACTCTCACCATCACAATTCCTCATCAAATCTACAAAATTCATGGTATACAGCAATTTTCAGTATCCCTTTGTCACATTACACCAGAACATTATGAAGTTTGCTCTCTAACTCAGCTTTCCATTTGACCGCACTCAGTGAAGTATCGCTACTAAAAATTGGGAATGATGCTCCACATGTCTAGTACGTCTGAAAGACTTTCAGATCTTCTCTTGGCAAAATAAAAGCATGTTCAACATCATTAGGATCACAAAATTCTGACTTCGATTGAGCAATCGATGAACACTAATAACTGAGCCTCTAAGACTATAAGCAGCAAATTCATGTACTAAGCAACGATACTATATACTGATGAAGATTTATTGTGTGTTAACAGAGGAAAACACACGAACCGGTCTATATAATGCGTAAATGCCATACTATTCTTTATTTAAACAGAAATTTGTACATAGACAATACTATCGTTTCAATCTTGTAAAATATGTTTTACTTGGTAAAAAAAATAGAATTCAACATTAGGTTTAGAGAGAGCAGATAGCATAATGTTACTGCATTTTAGTTCTGCCTTTGGGAAATAGTCCAAAATCTAGTCACCAAATAGATGCTTTATGAGCAAGTACTCTTCGTTATATACAATCCCAAATGCTCTTATAGTGTCTCCTCGTTTTTATCTCTTTACTTTACACCTTGGAGAGATGAAACACAGAAATCATCTGATCTAATGTTTGGCTTCTTGTAAGCTTGGTAAAAGGGTTAACAGGGTACAAAAGATATACTATCTATAAGTAAGGTGACATGTGACTAGGAAAACCAACAAAAGATTGAAAATATGAGCTAAAGTTTCAATATCGCAAACAAACTATTGCTCCTCATGACATTGCTACATTCTATATTTCTTTAATGAAGATATATCTAATACATTTATCTATTAATATAGGGCATAAAAACCAATAACAGCAATCTGACATACGTTATGGGAAGCATAAAGAGTTAAAGTATGTTAGGAAATTGGCTTAATTTCTTTTAGTTAAGTTTCTTATTTGGTGTAAGAAGTAACTAGTTTTCTAATTGGATTTAGTTACTTGAAGTAGTAGTCAAGTAAAGCCCTATTTAGCAGGAATTAGATGCTATTTCTATATGAGTTTAGGAAATAATATTGGTTTCCAATTGTTATTTGATTTTTTGGCAGTAATGTTCTCTATAAATAGGTGGATTGGCAAACTACACAAGAGACACACAAGGGCATCGTGTAGTCTTATACATGGGGTGTGAGAGAGGGTTCTTGGGAGATGAGAGATGGTATACAAGGGTTGGGCTTGGGTTCAAGTTGTATTCTTGTATAGGGTTTTCCTTTCATAATAAAGAACAGGTTTCTCTCCGTGGATGTAGGCTCAATGGTGGAGCCGAACCACGTCAAATATTGTGTGTCGTCTATCTTTCATACTTGTGGCTTGTTCCTCATTAAATTGTTGTGCACTTGATATCTCAATAGTTATTTATTCCACGCTTGGATCAGATCAAGTGGTATCAGAGCTTCAGATTGCGAGACTGGGCAATAAAGCAAAGTTCGTGGTTGAATCCTAGTAACTATTGAGATCAAGTGGATTGGTAGCTATCACCAATTGAACAATTTAATGGGTGGTATCCTTGTTTCAATGGCTTAACAAAAGTATTGATGGTGAAGGATGAAAAGTCGAAAAGCATGGAGATGCTTGATGGTGAATCTAGGCAGGTGATTCAAGGGTCAAGGAATAGGTGGAGTCCAATATTAATTTTGGACGTGAATCGTTGGAGGCTTTCTCACACCTCCAATGGTTGATACTTCATCCCGGTGATTTTTAGATTTCGATTATGTTTTTTGGGTGGTATGACAAGTGTCCCAAAGAAACAAGGAGATCTAATTTTCATGCGCCAGAAGACTCTAACAGTTACGAATTTTTCGTTTTAGGTGGAGTCTTGGAAATCACACGTGGCGAGACAGTCCTGAGGATGGAAAGAAGTATGGTGATTTTATCACTTAGTTGCCTCAATGGTTAGGGTTAGAACTCACAGAAGGAGATCCCAGATTGCAAGTGGTGGTGAAAAGAAATTCTGCAAAGGGAGACGGTGAATTGAGGCACCTTCTCGCGAGTCAATAAGAGGTTAGACTCGGGGAAACTACACATGTTCATTTGCCGATTGAATCAATTTGGTGTCCGGATTGTATTGATTCGGGTGTGTAGTTTGGTACCATATTATTTAGTAGTTGAAGGCAAATGGTTGCTAAAAGAAATTTTCACCAAGGTGGAGATTTGTTAGGAAATTGGCTTAATTTCTTTTAGTTAAGTTTCTTATTTGGTGTAGGAATTAACTAGTTTTCTAATTAGATTTAGTTACTTGAAGTAGTAGTCAAGTAAAACCCTATT